AGTGATTTAATAGATTATAGATTGGCGTGAATAATGGAAAATATCGAGGTACTTTTGCGTTAAGTTTATTATAAAGGGAATAGATTCTAGCAATGGGTTACACAATTCACTCATTTTTAATGATTATAGATTTAACATTACAAAATCACAACTCCAATCATAACAATTTTAATAATTTCATTGTTTTTATTCTAAAACTAACTTTTCACTCTACTTCGTACACGTGGATTTCAGAAGTAGAAAAACCAACGAAAGAGGCCTCTTTTAGATGTGGTATCGAGATAAAATACATACGAGATTTTAAGTTACGCCTTCAGAAATACAACAGTAAAACCAAATGTAATTTTCTGCAGTCGTTTTTACGTGATGCTAGAACAAACAGATAGACGAAATTTTACTTTATTATAAATTATTACACTCAATAATGTAGAAATACAATACAGTCGAAATAAGAAACTGCTCCATTCTGATCTCGGTTTAAAGATATAAATAAATTTTATTATGATTTATAAAATGTTTATCAGAGAAGGGTTATGTTTATAAATATCTTATTGTTTCGAGATGTAATGGTATCAGCCAAGAAAGTTATGAAAACTCCATACAAAGTTACAACTTCGACGTTCCTGTAACTTAAAATGATACTTTGGAAATTTGGAAATTTAATGGGCAAACAAATTTAAATGTAGACAAATGTTTATATTTGTAAAAAGATGTGTATGTGTGCAAACAACATGAGTTTGTGTGAGGGTGTGAGAGATTACAGGAAGGGACAAAATAATGTTTCTTTACCGTTTCAGCTTTTATACCAACAGGTATAAGAGGAAATAATAATATCTCTTCAAGTGAAAATCTAAAGGTATTCATCAGATATTGAATCAGAAATAGCCAGGAAGTGCCACAATCGTGCCAATTAACGGGCTGACTGCCAATCACTTCCGTTTGATGGGTCGCTTATAAATGGAATAAAAAATATATGATGTTGGCTGTCGAGGGACACCGCTAGGGTTGTCACTACTCCCCTAATAAATTAAGTCCGTAATTTATTTATAACAAATTAAGCTAACTTTACATTTGTCCAATATTTTCTGCCTGATATTCCTATTTATCCGGTATATTATAGTAGTATAAAAAGGGCAAAAGAAAAAACAATTAAAATAAAACCCTAGACCACACTAACACTATTAATTCTTTTTTTTTTATACAACTTAGAATAGCAATCAAGCTGACGGCCCACCTGATGGAAAGCGGTAACCGTCGCCTATAAACATGAGCAGTACCATGGACATAACAGAGTATACTGTTTCGCCCATGATACCCCCCATGCGTTGCCATTCCTGAGGACTCAAGTGTTATTCCTCTGTACCCAGTAAATTCACGCCATATCCCACCCTTCAAACCGAAACACAGCCATGCAAACACAGCTGCTTCACGGATGAAACACGAATGGGACAGAGGTACCTAAGCAATCGACTTTTGTACAAAATCTCTCTGTGGTAAATTCAGTAGAATTCTAATATGTTAAGTGAAATGTTGAACATATCGAATGTCATTTTCACCATAATGGCAATAGTCGACGAAGGCCTCTGATTGCCCTATTAGGAATTAAAGTTGTAAGTATATTTAAAATGTAATAATAATAATTAAATATATGATAACAAAAAAGAAATCCAAGAGAGATTTCATGTAAATAGTAAATAAATTTTGTTGATGGTTGTAGGCGCGCTTCATCTTGAATTTTTAACCAAGTTAAAAAAAGGAATTTTTAAATCGGTTGTTTTTTATGTTTGTTACCTTATAATTCCGTCAGACAAATTTGAAAAATTGTTTTTCTATCTGAAAAGATACACTTACAGATATGTCCCATGGATAATTTCCTAAAATCGTTTATTTTATGTGGCACAATCTTTATATCGGTGAAAAATTAAGACAACTTTGAAGTAAAAACAATAAAGTATTTTAAGAAAGGAGTGTATTAAAATTATTACCATTTCTCTTAACTCAATGTTCGAGGGATGGGCAGCAACGTATCCCTTGAGATTGCCTTAAGACCAAAGACTAACTGCGTTTGCCAACCCGCCTGCCCAAGGTGGCAACAACTGGCATAATTGCCCTTATAGGGAAGCCTATGTTTAGCAATGGACTGTAAATTGTGATATAATATAAATATTTATTTATTTATTTTACACTTTATTGTACCAAGTAAAAAGAAAAATAACAAATACAGTAAATATTAATGAGAAGTGATACAAAAGTGATATAAATATCAAGATTAAAACACATTATTTTTTTATACATTTTATATATTACACGGGTGTATAACCAATAATTGACAACCCTACATAAAGCTTATGAATATTGGAAAGTCCGCGCGTCGGTCGGTCGCCCCTCGGCCGTAATGGAAGTTATTCAGTTCTGCTTTCAGAATGAAACGGCCGATGATGCGTCCCCATTTACTATTCCAGGCATTGCGTTACACTTGTATTATAGACTAGCTTTTGCCCGCCACTTCGTACGCGTGTATTAAGTAAGTAACCACTACTTAATAGCGTATTAAAATAAACATACAGCAAGTTTTAAAATAAGATCTTCAAAGACACAACTGTGAAAACCGTATCCAATTTGGTACACTAGTTCTTGCGTCATGCCGGAAACAACATACATACATACAGACAGACAAAATTTCTAAAAGTATTGCTTTATTTATTTATAAATAAAACATATAGTGAGCCATATGTTTATTTTACAAACTTAAAAATTTTAAACAATATTTTAAAAATATGTCCAATTTGTCATTAACTATAATAAAATCTGGCTGCTGAGCAATCAGAGAATTGAGCAAAGAAATAGCCTGATAAGTGGAAGCAAACTGAGCAGTACAGGTGCTTCTATTGCTCTTATTAAGACTCCCCATATAAACTTCTTCTATGTACAGATGTCATATAGTTATAATTTTATTATATTAATAATTTATCCAAGTTTTTTTATACAACTTAGAATGGCAAACGAGCTGACGGTCCACCTAACGGAAAGTGGTAACCGTCGCCTATAGACATGAGCAGTACTATGGACATAACAGAGTATACTGTTTCGCCCATGATACCTCCCACGCGTTGCCATTCCTGAGGACTCGGGTGTTATTCCTCTGTACCCAGTAAATTCACGCCAACTATGTACGTAGGTACACGACATTCATAATACAGTAGGCTGAGGCATAAATCAAACTAAAACCACTAATTGATCTGCCAATTGCAGCCACTCCTGGGACGTACGGATCCACGCGTTAATTGGCACTTCATTACTATTCTCTGTCTATCGAACATAGTTGGGCGATATTTGTGGATATTTGAGAGGAAAAATGGTCCAGAACAGAAATTTAGAAGAACTTTAGAAGTTTTCATGTAAAAAAATAAGATAAATTGAGAACCGATGGGTTTTTCTTTTTGAAGTCACTTAAAGTATTTTGTGTGTAAAAATATATCTTATATTATACCTAAAAAAAAAAATACAAATACAATTTAGAAAGGACCACTTTGGTATGGTAACCCCGTCCGCGCCATCGACATACAACGACGAGGCACCAATGGAAGATGAAAGGTGAGAATGAATGCAGGCCAGTTTGCCCATCATGATGAATTCGACAAGAATTAATCATGATGGTTTCCAGAAGGAACCGCGTAGAGGTCAACCTGAGAGGTTATATTGCTAGCAACAAGGCTGTTACACCTCATTAATAACAATCCCTTTCCCCCTGAAAGGTCAGTCAGGAAAATGTTTCTATACCTACACCGACATGTACGGATTTCGACGTGGTGTGAGTTTAAAAAAAGGGATAGGTGAAATGCCACATTTGCGCCAAGAATTGCTGACAAAGTGTTACTCAATCTAGCGACGTTTAATGGAATACTGAGGTCCAATAATATAAGCCCGGATCAGACCGTCTTACAATAAATTGCTCGCCCGTAATGCTGAGATACCAATATAAGTGCTGAGAAGGTATCCAGTTTCCATTCAATGATTTTTAAATAACATAATTCGAAAACGACGTATCCAACTCGGCTGGGCAGCGTTTGGAAATTCAGCGGGCTATAGAGAGGGTGTTTAAGAAATGTATTTTTCATATCGAAAATTTAGTTTGAAAACAGATACTAGATGGCGTTGTTGACAAGTAAAAGTTGCTGTTAAGGTTTTCCTGTATTTTAATGACCTGCCCTTAGAGAGAATTACTTAAATAATCCTATCATTCCTACTTTATTGTTGTTCCATTCAAAGTCATCGGTAGCAGATTTTTGACTCACAGTACCTAGTTGTTCAGAGGGCTATGCTCGGAGTTTCTGTGCGTAATCCGCAATCCGATATCCGCAAAAGAACCACTCAATGGCCGTTGTTGTATTATTTCTTTTATATAATCCATTTTTATAAACAATTTTCATGCCAGCCTCTGGAGCAATACGTTCGTACTTTAATAAAAATACCAATGTAATCACCGTCTTTCATATCAGACTTTAACTGTCCACTGTACAACATAAGCCTCTCCCTTAGGGGGTTTGCTAGTAATTGTCACGCTTGGCAGACAGGTTGGCAACCACAGTTAGGCTTTAGAGATGTTTTAAGAGGGACGATGTTGCCCAAATCTCGCCCTCCTTAGTCGCCTCTTACGACACCCACGGGAAAGGATGGGGTGGCCTATTTTATTTATAAATAATTTAATTATCATAAATAATTAAATGACTATAAATAATTGAATTAGCGTGTTTTCCCGCAAATAAATAAATTATTATTATAAGTCTCTAAATTTTTCATTTCAAATTAAATATCACAGTGAAATCGCACCCGCGACTTTTCCGAACAATTTTTCCGAACCCGAAACTGTTGTTTCGGGTTCGGGGTCCCATTGGCGGCGGTAATCGCTTACCATCAAACGAGCCGCAAGCTCGTTTGCTCCCCAAATTTCCTTTGTTACCAAACAATATCATTATTTAAACGCTATTTTTTTGTTACAGGAATTGGCAGCAGCGACGCCCACACAACGCAACTGGCGGGGTATACTGATAGCTCTGCTGGTGATCGCGGCTGTACTCGGACTGATTGTGTTCAGCATAGCACTGCTGACGCCGGCCAGCGACGGCGGTAGGGTCCGCGGTCGGCGGCCTACGCTCCACGATGTTCTCACGGAACATTACAAGCCATTCAACGGCACTTGGCTTACAGGTAAGAGCTTTGGAAAATTCTATTGTTTTCAATTTCAAATCCAATTTATTTAATTGTTATTCAAATTTATATAATTTTTATTTAAATAGACTTGTTTCTAAGGACTTTTTAATCGTCATTTATTTATAAATGCAGGGTTCGGAAAGTTATTATTTGTGTTTTTTTTTTTATACAACTTAGAATTGCAAACAAACTGACGGCCCACCTGATGGAAAGTGGTAACCGTCGCCTATAAACATGAGCAGTGCCATGGACATAACAGAGTATACTGTTTCGCCCATGATACCCCCCATGCGTTGCCATTCCTGAGGACTCAGTTATTATTTCTCCGTACCCAGTAAATTCACGCCATATCCCACCCTTCAAACCGAAACACAGCCATGCAAGCACAACTGCTTCACGGTAGAAACACGAATGGGACAGAGATACCCAAGCAATAGACTTTTGTACAATGTCTCCCTCTGGTCTGTTGTGAAGAGCCTGCAATAAACACAATAGTTACTCTTTTAAATCTCTGTTACCATTATGTGTATTTATTTCAATGTACTATGTCTAAAATTACATGGTCGTTAAAAGCCTGTGCATGATCGACTAACATCCATGCACATTAGTCATTCAAGTAATCGTTTAGTGTGAAATAGGTTTTGTTCAATAAGTGTTTTTAATAAACAGTTATAGGGGGGAAAGGGATTGTTAGTAATGGAGACTGAGAATCCCATTGCTAGCAATATACCCAACCAGGTCGACCTACTCGCGGTTCCCCCTGGAAACTATCAAGATAAATTTCTGATGAATTCATCATGATGGGCTAACTGGCCTGTTTTCATCCTCACCTATCACCCTTCACTGGTGCTCCGCCAGCGTATCCCGTTAGCGCAGCCGGGGTTACCATACCATTTTCATCTAATAAATAAATAAATAAATAAACAGTTATAAACTTATTAAAAGGTAGATCCAAAATATCCTTCGGTATCTTATTGTAACATTTAATGCCCATTCCCATAAAAGACTTATTAACTTTTTCTAAACGATACTTTGAAACAGCAAGTTTGTATTTGTATGTAGTGTTAAGATTATTAAGATCGCTGTTTTTAAAAAACAGTTGAAAGTTATTTTATTATTTCAAATTTTGAATTGAATTTACTCAAAACTTATTCTTTTGTATTTAATTTCGAATTAACCGTTCAACGACACTTGACTTACAAATGATTTTGAACACCTTCAAATGTAGTCTATTATTATGAATTCTGAATCGAATTTAATGAAAGTTATTCTATGTTTTTGAATTTTGAATTAATATTACAATGACAGTTGACTCAAAGACGTTTTTGGATTCCTTAAAATGTATTCCATTATTTTAAACATCGAATTGAATTTAATTAATATCGAATTAATTTATCTACAAGTATTTTTGACATCAACTGATCAACTGATTTCGGAACAATCCGGGACTTTTGATAAAGATCTCGTGCTGATATCATACCCGCTTGATGTCGCATGATAGTCGAGCATTTTTAATAAAAGGGCGGCACCGCACAAGCAACTGCTCTCGAGTTGCAAGTGTTCAAGGGCGACCGTAGCCGCTTCCCATCAGGTGGATCGTCTGCTCGTTTGTCTCCCTAACAATAAAATATATATATATATATATATATATATATATATATATATATATATATATATATATATATATATATATATATATATATATATATATATATATATATATATATATATATATATATATATATATACTATACTAGCTGACTCGGCAAACGTTGTTTTACCATATACATTATTTTGAGAACTACACATGAAATTTTACTACAATTGTTATATTCGATTGCCATCTTTCAATCCTATTACGGCATATAAAAATCGCGATTAAAAAATCGGGGTTGATCGTAAAAGCGTGAAAATTTTAATTTATATGTATTTTTCAATGCTAAATCATAATAAAATAAAAATAAAAATATTTGTAAAAAAATTAATATTTAGGGGTGGGTTACACGTATCATTGAGGGGTATGAAAAATAGATGTTGGCCGATTCTCAGACCTACCGAATATGCACACAAAATTTCATAAAAATCGGTAAAGCCGTTTCGGAGGAGTTTGGTAACAAACACCGCGACAGAACAACAGACAGAGAATTTTATATATTAGATATATTTGTACGCGTAAGACAATCAGATTTTTGTTTTACAGATGACGTATTTCATCTGTTTGCTCTTAGGAAACTTTTAACAATAAAAAGTTATTCTATTGTTTCGAATTTAAACTTCGATTATAATACAATTAAAAAGATCAGAAGTCGGAAGTTTTCGACACATTTACTTCGAATTAATTTTGTGACTATGATGAACACGAAACGTCTTTAATTTTATTATGTCAACAACTAAATTTTATTTCAATATAATTTGATAACCTCAAATGTCAAGCCCAAATTTATAAAGTTGTAATAAATAAGTTGAAACGCTTAATGTTTAAAAACATATAAGAATAAATTTTTATTTGAAAAATTAATAAGTGACCGTAATACCGATAAAATTCGCGTTCAGCCTCACGTCACAGCATTATTTGATAAAAGTTTTTTCGGTATGGTCTCTAAAATATACAATAAATTCCCGAAAGCATTCAAAGGGATAAACAGTTTAAATGTATTTAAGAAAAAAGCAAAAGAATATTTGACAGCCAAGTGACGTTACATGACTATTACAGTGATAAATATTAGACATGCAATTTAATTATTTTTATTGACATTTTTTACATTTTGACATTATTTTTATTGTTATAAGTTATTATTACTGTAATTTTATATTGTACACGCCGATATGGTAGAATATGGAATAATGGACATGTATTTAATATTTTCATCTAATATATATACCCATATTCGTGCAATAAATTATTTGATTTGATTTGATATTTTATATCGGACATAAAAAAAATAAAACACCAGAATTTATTTCTTGTTTCATTCTATCACTTGCGTGCTGTAGCGAAAACGTAAAAATAATGTATAAGATTCCTGATCAGAAAAAGAACACTACAAAATTGATTGGAATTAGCGAGCAACTGCGTCTGCGCAGAAAATGAGGGGCCCTTGAAATCTTCAAGATGGGTCATAGTTGTTGGCGATCCCATATCAGGCAAAAGTCGTTTTGAGTATCAAACGTTAACTTTCCACTGCTGAACATAGGTCTCCCTTGGCTTAGCTTTCACGTTTGGCAGGCAAATTGGCAACCGCAATTAGGCTTTGGTCCTGTTTAAAGAGGTACGCTGCTACCTATATCTCTCGCCTACCCTTAGTCGCCTCTTACGACACCCACGAGAATGGAAGGGGTGGCCTATTCTTTGACGAGACCACACGGCCATATATACAAGTATTATTAGAAGATTGTTGACGTCATTATTAGTCGTATATAAAATAGATAAATTTTTAATCTGTAAATAATATTGTTAGTAAATATTCATAACAATATGAGTTGACAAATTCTATAACTCGTCTTCAAAATGTTCAAGATGATTTGTCGAATAATAAGTTGCAAGATCTGTCGACTCATGTTGTTTTGATGCTCAACCAATGTCAACGAGAATGACTTGTCATTTGGTTATATAACTCTAATTATTGCATAGCAACGAATTTTATTACAATTCCTTTAAATATTTTTTTTATACCACTGAGGTTGTAAACAAGCATACGGCCCATCTGATGGTAAACGATTACCGTAGCCTATAAACACCTGCAATACCAGAGGTATTACGCGCGCGTTGCCGACCCTGAAGAAACTTCTTTACTAACCTTTTGAAGAACCCCATGCTGTGGTCTTATAATAATTATAATAAAATTTTACATTTTCAAAAAACTTGAAAGGTTCTAATTCGATATTATGGTCCATGCAAACTAGCGTACATGAGTGCGTGCGTGCGTGCGTGCGTGCGTGCGTGCGTGTGTGCGTGCGTAGTCTGAATAACAGCAGTAATCTAATATCTGATTGTGTTATCAGAAACAAACTCTTCTATCGCATTATATGAATTACGTAATATGACAATAACTGGTATATTGCAGATCCCACCGGTAAAGATAGCACTATCCTGCCTATTTCTTAATTTCTCGATATGTGATAGTATGTATAATACTACCTACGGTCAGTTACAGTATACTATGAATGTCGCGTAAAACACAAACGCAATCTGCAAATCATTACCTTATCAGCCGTCATCTGTCCAAAGACCACCTGCATCCACTAACTCCCTGCAATGCGTTTGAGGTCGTAACTTCTAGTCCGGGGTCGTGCGTTACACTGCACACTGCGTTTGCCCTGGATCGCCACTCAAGAACCATTCTTCCCCATTCATTGTCAAATCTTCAAGTTATGTTACCAGTCCATTGCCATTTCAGATTGCTTATCTTTCGGGTTATGTCCAAAGCTTGCTAATTTAGTTGAAGCTTTTACATACGGGCGAACTTGTAGGGCCATTTTTCGGTTCCGTAGATCATCACTGGCAAGATCTTTAACCAGTGCCTGACTTGTTAAAGATTGTCTTTAAGTTTCAAATATAGCAATCTACAAATATAGTGAAACAAATACATATACATATCCTCCTTTAATATTGTTATTTTACCAACCGACATCTAAAAAAGAGAAGAATCTGATAATTAAGTTTTAAATTTTCTTTTTCTGTTACCTCATGTCTGTAAGAGATCCTACAGGATATGTACAATAAAGATTTTACAATACGCTACTCCGTTATTTATAAGCCGATTTGGAAAATTCTATTTTCATCTGAAAGGATATACCAAATTAGTCCCACAGAAACTTAATCAAAACGGGTTCAATGTTTTTAATTTTGATATCACACTTTTATTCACGTTAATCACAATTTTGTCACAATTGTTTTTTTGTTTTTGGGAGCACAATTTTAAATTATAATTAGTTGCAATAAAATAGTTGCAAATGGAAATGGCAATAAAGAATTTTTATATGTAAACATTGATTCTAAATTTAGAGAAAAAAGCATATTTATTTATAAACGATTCACATCGATTCTAAATTTACAAAGATATCGCATTACATTATAAAAGAATAAAGTTAAATAAAGAGACACGTCTTTTTAGTAATCAATTTAAAAATGAAAACTTTAATTATAATACAAACACATTTTACAAAATGAGACAAACAGACTGATAACAACATTGAAAACATGAATAACAATGTATTTCACGACAGATTAGACATATTAATAAACTTAATTACTTATGATAATATGAGTACTCTAATATTTGATAGTAGAGTGTATATATATGATGTGTGAGATACACTTACTTCATAAGTAAATATTAATTTGAAGCAGTGACAACAACAAGTGACAATAATGGAGCTCATGTACTTACCACTCGTGATCATCGCGCTGCTCTGTTCTTTTTACTATTACTTCACAAGGAATTTCAACTACTGGAAAGAGAGAGGCATCATTGGACCAGAACCAATACCTATTTTCGGAAACATAAAAAATTCCGCACTTCGTCGTGAAAATGGCGGTGAAACCATTGCTAACATTTACCATCAGTATCCAAACGAGAAAATAGTTGGAGTGTTCAGAATGACGACACCAAATCTTTTACTCAGAGATCTGGATACTATTAAACACGTGATGATTAAAGATTTCGACCAATTCTCCGATCGTGGAATCCAGTTCAGTACAGAAGGTCTTGGCTTGAATTTATTCCATGCTGATACTAATACTTGGAGAGTACTCAGAAATCGTTTCACACCTCTGTTTACTTCTGTAAAATTAAAAAATATGATGCATTTGATGACAGAAAAGGGAGACCAGTTTGTTGAATACGTGGAAAAAATTACAAATAACCAAGCAGAATACAAAATCCACAACCTTATCCAAAAGTACACCGTATCTACAATAGTAGCTTGTGCTTTTGGTTTCAATATCGATGATTATACAGATACAAATCCAATAATTAAGACCCTACATAAAATAGATCGTGAAATATTCACTACAAATTATGGCAATGAATTTGATATGATGTTTCCAGGTTTATTCAAAAAACTAAACATATCTCTTTTCCCTAAATATGTATCGGATTTTTTTAACAAATTAACAAGATCTGTTATTAGCGAGAGGCAAGGAATGCCTACAGATAGAAAAGACTTCATGGATTTAATTTTAGAATTGAGAAATCAAAAAGAAATACAGTCCACGAAAAGGAACAATAGCGAGGAACAAATGTATCTAGAGATAACGGATGATGTTATTGCTGCGCAGTCCTTCGTCTTTTTCGCGGCAGGATACGAAACAAGCGCTACCACTATGACTTTTTTGCTGTACCTGTTAGCAAAAAATCCACATATCCAAGAAAAGTTACATGAAGAAATAGATAAAACACTAGAAAATCATAATGGTGAAGTAACATACGATACAATCAAGGATATGACTTATTTAGATAAGGTATTCGATGAGACGCTTCGTCTGTTTCCTTTAGTGGAACCATTGCAGCGACGTGCACAGTCTAACTACAAAATTCCAAACACTGATATTGTTGTCAAGAAAAATCAAATAGTATTAGTTACACCTCGTGGTATTCATCACGATCCTAAATATTATCCAAACCCTGAAGTCTTTGATCCTGAGAGATTTGATCCTGAAATTGCGGCTGCAAGGCATCCTTGTGCATATATACCATTCGGGGTTGGTCCAAGGAACTGCATTGGTGAGTTTATTTCCAGTAAATTTAATACACTTGTAATTTAATACCCATATTCTTGTAGTAAATATGTTGCCTTAACTAATCTTGAAGCAATTTGGCGTATCGTAGTAATTATTTGAAATATAGAAGGAAGGTAACTTTTTTATTACAATAAATCAATAACTATGTTCGAGTTACATAATGAAATTACAGTTGACAATAAAAAAAAGCATTACAACAGATTTTATGACACTCAATAGATCACAGAAACACTTCGAGTAGAGTTTTACATGTTAAATTTTTTTTATATTATATGTATGGTATACCCTACCAAAACAGTCGTTACGTGTTCACTATTAAACATAGGCCTCCCCCTGGAGGCCGAACGTGGTCTCTCGTGGTAATTGCCACGCTTGGCAGTCGAGTTGACAACCACTGTTAGGCATTGTTTTAAGAGGGACGCTGCTGTCCATCTCTCGACCACTATACAACCTCTCGACCATTATATATATCAAATATATTACACATATTCTTATAAAATAATCATCAGTCACTTTATTTATGGCTTTAATTATGTTTATATTTCTAGGCATGCGTTTCGCCAAAATGCAGTCCCGTATATGCATTGTCAAGTTACTCTCAAAATTCCGAGTGGAACGATCAAAGAACACCATGGAAGAAATGAAGTTTGACCCCATGAGGATCGTGATGACCCCAGCTGATGGGATTCTATTGAATATATTGCGAAGAAAATAAATTTTTAAAAGCAGACTAGTTTGCCGTCATATTTTAAATGATAAATTTTGCAGGTAAATAGTACCTACATACCTACTTCTTAAATGCCGACGTTTCGACGTGGATTGCACCACGTCGTGGTCGCAACAGAAGTAGGTACGTAGGTTTATTTACCTGTAAAAGCTTTTACGATAAGTTCCAATTGTGTATTTAAAATATGTGTAAACAACGCGTAAGTTTAAAATTAACTAGTTTGTCGTAGTCATAAAAGTGAACATAATATGAGAGCTTATACTGTAATTATTTAACTGTATGTCGATTGCACTGTGATATTGCAAGCTCAGTTTAGTTAGTGCTGATAGAGATTCTTAACTTTTTTGTTTTTATAATAATAATTTATTTATTTGCTCGAAATGTGGTTCTATCTGTTCTCCTTTAACTAAAGGTTGTCTGGAAGAGATCGCCCTAGCGATAAGACCGCCTTTTGTACCTTTATGTGTATATTTCAATCTCTATTTATGTTACTGTATTTCACTTGAATTATTCACTTGTCATTGTATATTTTTATTTATGGTGCAATAAAGAGTTAAATAAAATAAAAATAAATAAAATAATAATAATGGTCTTAAATATTATTGAGCTACACATTTCGCCTTATCTAAAGGCATGCAAATTTTTATTTCAGCACACAGTGGCTTACATATATTAACAGCCTAGTAGGAGTCAATCTATAAATATTGACAGTCGCACACATACCAATGGTAGCAGAACTAAACAAATACAAATACAAATACAAACTAAACAAAAACAAAAACACAACAAGTCAAAAACATAACAAATGGCATACAATACAACTGAATTATACATTTACATACATACATTTAATTTTTTAAAAAGTCATTTATTGAATAAAAATTGCATTCCAGTAACCATTTTTTTAACCGTAATTTAAAGTGACTTACTGGTAGTTCTCTTATTGATTTTGGTATTTTATTATTTATTTTAATAGTCATTATATCACAGTTTTGTTGATGCAGTGTGGTTCTGCAGATGGGCAGTTTCAACATTGTGTGTGTGTGTGTTTTGTAAATACATACATTCTTTGATTGATTGTAATAATACAACGTTGTATTATTCTAGGTGTATTCTATGTTTAATTGTTTGTATTCTATTATTTGTATTATTATATCGTATTCAAATGTTTATCACAAGTGAGATCGGTATATTAAATCGCTTGATCACTAAGGTCGCCAAATGTTTTGCTTTTTGCTTTTTTTCCTTTAAAAGTGATAAAAAAGTTTTAATTCTTAAAATAAATTTGTAGAAAGTTTTAGGTTTTTTTTTTTTTACTAATAAAAAGATCAGTTTATTTTTATTTATCCTGAAATTTTGTTTCCTTTTCCACGACTTCCAAAAGAAGGAGGTGCTTATTTCGGTTGTAAATTGGGTTCGATTTAGGAAAAAATTAGGTTCTTAATTGTGAGATAACAAATACAAATAAAAAAATATATTTGTTACCTTATAATTTAGAAAATTCTTTTTTACCTGAAAGAGGGTAGTCACTCTTTATCTATTTACTGACTTATTAGTTCCATAGAAATAACAATATCGATTTATTTGTTTAGTTTTTAAATTAAAATAACTCGTTTTACCACGATTGTGGTATTTTTTGTTATACAACACAATCTTATATATTAATTTATCAACCTGTCTGTCCTTGGTGGTATGCTTAACTTGAAATTTTTGTGATAAGAATTATATACATCGTTTATTATGATATCATAAAAATAACATCTTATTAGCAAACGAAGATACAAAACTCGTTTGACTGGGTATCTATGTCCCACTCCTGTTTCCGCCGTGAAACAACTGTGTTTACGTGACTGTGCTTGGGTTTAAATGTGATGGATGTGACAGTGGAATTACAAAGTACGGATGAATTGTAGAAGTTTTGAGCAAAATTATACCAAAAGTAATGGGTAAAAACCAAGCCTGAAATTGATATTCACTTTGACGGTCACTCTGTGTTTATATCTGAATTAAAAAGTTGATGCTCCTCGCCATTACGTTTTGTTTATTCATAATTTAATTGAAATTTAATCTATTGTATATATATATATATATATATATATATATATATATATATATATATATATATATATATATATATATATATATATATATATATATATATATATATATTTAATAATTCATTGTATTGAAATGTTTGGCCGTATCTTATGTTGGTGATTCTACACGTAAACAAATATTATATCCAGGCTAATACAAGGGCACATGGACTCATGTGTACAAATGTTTGTATTGTGCGGGACTCGAACCCACGACCATTGTGCTAATCAACTGTCACCTCCAAAGACATCATTATTTTTTTAATAACAACAACTGTTAACGCCTATTAATTGAATAGAAGCAATTATTCGCATTCGCACAAAACGCAACTTAGAATGGCAAACAAGCTGACGGCCCGCCTGATGGAAAGTGGTAACTGTCGCCTATAGACATGAGCAGTACCATGGACATAACAGAGTATACTGTTTCGCCCATGATACACTCCATGCGTTACCATTCCTGAGGACTCAGGTGTTATTCCTCTGTACCCTGTAAATTCACGCCATATCGCACCCTTCAAACCGAAACACAGCCATGCAAGCACAACTGCTTCACGGTTGAAACATGAATGGGACAGAGGTACCCAAGTAAACGACTTTTGTCAAAGTCTCCCTCTGGTAAATAGTTCGATTCTCTTTATTGTTTCCTCCATAAGATTACAGTAGTAAACTTATTATAGATATAAACAATTACAAGAAATAATCACAATGAGAAAACAATGGGCGACCTTATCGCTAAGAGCGATCTCTTCCAGGCAACCTTTGGATGGAGAAGCGTAATTATAAACAATTTGATTGGAGGCACGAAATTCTGTTCGTTTTTTAAATACACATAGACATATGCATACGTACAATAATGTAAATATATATATATAAATATATATACATGGTTTCTTTCATACATACATTTATGTTACTTGCATACACCCACTCTAACTTGCCTGCCTCGCTCTAGAATTATAATTTTCATTTGTATCAATAAAATCCGTTATTGGCTGTGTTCATAAGAGACTTAGCATGTAAGTTGTGTTATATATATATATATATATATATATATATATATATATATATATATATATATATATATATATATATATATATATATATATATATATATATATATTGGATATATATATCAAAACAACGATAAACATTATGAGATACCTATAGCAACTATTGAGAAACTTGTAACTAAAACAGGTTTTGTTGATATACACAAATACTAAAATTTACATAATATATAAACAAATAAATATATATAAATAACAAACAAACAAACAAACAACGTAGCTTATATTATCAGCAAGTATCATGTATGCTAATTCATTAGCTGTACTATATTTAAAAAAAAACTAGATAACTTGTACTTATCTGCCTCGTGCGAAACCGGGTCGCGAGTTAATCTTATTGACTTTCAATAATCGCAACATAGGTAATGTAATAGGGATATTACATTCAGTGATGTCACATTACAGACAGTTTTTTTAATTGATGATAATGGAATGGTTACCCCGCCTGCGCTAACGGTATACACTGGCAGGGCACCAGTAAGGGGTGATAGGTGAGAATGAAAAGACAAGTCAGTTAACCCATAGTGATGAATACACTTGGAATTCGGCACAATGGATTCCAGGGGGACCACGTGGAGGTCAAGCTGACAGGGTATATTGCTAGCAATGAAACTAGTAGTTTCATTGCTAACAACGCATACTAACAATCCCTCCCCGTAAGTCATCTGCTTAGATACCTCTATCTCATTTATGTTTCTGCCGTGAAGCAGTTGTATATGCACATACACAATTTAAAAACGTTTAGAAATAAAGGAAGAAGAAATATTTTTATTCAAGTAAACTTAAATTTAAGCATTTTTGAATAGTCATTATTTCATTGCCGCCCATTCGGAACACAATTTCAACCAAGAAAAACGGGCAACAAACACAGCTGTTGCTGTTTTCAAAAAGTTTATATTGTTATAAATAATGAATTTGTGTAAATACAAACTACTAAGCAGTATCGGATCATAAAATCGAAAATATATAGAATATAATTAAAACAAATCTATAAAATATGTAAATCAGTGTGGAGTGATCAGAGCTGACCAGTCTCTATACAGTATATTAATTTTATATTATAATTGACAGTATAACTATTCATATATGTAGGTAAGTTTTTTTTTACAACTACTTGCTAAATATAATACCTGCTTGATGTTTATTAAACATTTTGTGATATCTTATCATAAAGTATTTAACACGCATGCTCCACGAATAAAGCTCATATACGAAAACTCATCCAAACGGTCAAGAACTACTGATAAGAATGGAGCCTATGTATATACCGCTCATACTCATTGTATTGCTCTATTCTCTTTACTATTACTTCACAAGGACTTTCAATTACTGGAAGGACCGAGGTGTCGTTGGACCAGAGCCAGTGCCACTATTCGGTAATATCAAAAGAGCTGCACTTCGTTACGAAAATGTAGGGGAAACTATGGCTAATATTTACCATCAGTATCCAGACGAGAAAGTGGTTGGAGTGTTCAGAATGACAACACCGAATCTTTTACTAAGAGATCTGGAGATTATTAAGCATATAATGATTAAAGACTTCGACGAGTTCTCCGACCGTGGAGTTGAATACAGTACAGACGGTCTGGGCAAAAATTTGTTTCATGCAGACAGTGAGACTTGGAGGATACTCAGAAATCGATTCACACCAATATTTACATCGGGAAAATTAAAGAATATGACGTACCTATTGACCGAACGTGGTAACCGGTTTATTAAATACGTTGAAACCATTACCCGTAATCAGAAAGAACATAGAATCCACACCCTTGTTCAGAGGTACACCATGTCTACCATAGCAGCCTGTGCCTTTGGTATAGACATCGATGACATCACGGACAACAATCCATTGATTAAAACCCTCCACAAAATAGACCGAGATGTGTTCACCTTAAACTTTGCTCTGGAATTAGATATGATGTATCCGGGTCTGTTCAAGAAATTAAATTTGTCCATCTTTCCTAAATATGTCAATGATTTTTTTCATGATTTGACAAGAACAGTTACCAATGAGAGACAGGGTAAGCCGTCAGGTAGGAGAGACTTCATGGATTTAATTTTAGAGATAAGAGAACAAAAAGAACTCCCATCGCTAAAGAGAAACGAAAGCGATGATCAAACGCATCTAGAGATATCTGAAAGTATTATTGCCGCACAGTCTGCAGTATTTTTCGCTGCAGGATACGAAACTAGTGCGACTACAATGAGTTATCTTTTATATCTGTTGGCGAAAAATCCACATATTCAAGAAAAACTACATGAAGAAATAGATAAAACTCTTGAAAATCATGACGGTGAATTGACTTATGATATAGTCAACAACATGCCATATTTGGGTAAAGTGTTTGATGAGACACTCCGTTTATTTCCTCTTGCAGAGCCGTTACAACGTAATGCAAAATCTGACTATAAAATACCTGGCACCGATATTGTTGTTAAGAAAAATCAAATGGTATTAATTTCACCTCGTGGTATTCATCACGATCCTAAATATTATCCGAACCCAGAAGTGTTTGATCCTGAGAGATTTAATCCTGAAATTGCGGCTGCAAGGCATCCTTGCGCATACATGCCTTTCGGAGTTGGCCCAAGAAATTGTATTGGTAACTATTTATTTCTCTTTATATTAGTACATACGATACCTATAGATAATCCATCCATTGTCACATGAATATAATTAAAGGAACTAATTTCAAATGCTTCAATTATATATATGCACTTATATTAAGTGAATTCTAAAAAAATGCATTGAATAGAGCGCATTCAATTGAATTTTTAATAACTCAGGTCGCATTACAATATGCTGAAATGCACCGATTTTGTAAAGATGACATCTAAAAATGAATTAATTTGCGACGAGTATTTGATAACTGCTCTACCTTGAGACTTGTCCTTCAAAAGTAATTTAGTCTAGTCTAAATATATTAACACAAATACTACTGATTAAGGGCAGAGATAATCTACATATTACACAGCCCTATTTTAAATACATAATTAGAACTTAACGCGATGAAAACACCTTTGTAGGTATATTTATCTTTATTATTGTATCTATGTAGATACAACAGGGCTCACCATAAAATATTCGGATCTGAAACATTACGTATATGTACATATTATGTATTATTTATTGAATTTAACCGATATCGAACTACAAATATAAATAAAAATGTAATAGACTTGATATTTGTAATGTAATAAAATATAAACAAGTTAGAAGCCGCGGAGAGTAGGGGGTCGCAAAATATTTTAATATAGTAAGGCGTGACCCGCCTTGAAAAAATTTGACAGACACTGTTCTAGTCAATTAATTTATTACTTTTTCAGAATTTAAGTTGTAATTGTGTAACAAAGTCGTAATCAACTACTTTTATTCCTCAAATTAAAAAATGGACTGTTTTACCAAAATTAAGGTACTTTCAAAACAAAATATAGCCAGTATCAGTCAGGATTATGTAAGGATTATAAAGATTATCACATACATTCAAATGTGTTCAAATACTTACAAATTAAGGTCGAATAAAAGAAATTACATACATACATACATACACATCTGTCACGCCGGTCTCCCATTAGGGTAGGCAGAAACAATGGAACGCCAAATGCTTCGATTCAAACAAACCTCTTTCGCTTCTTCCACATTCATCAATCTTTTCATACACGCTCGCCGGTTACGGGTACTTTTAATTTGGCCCTTCTTCAGCACGTCGCCTACTTGGTCAACATACGTCCGTCTAGGGCGGCCCCTACCGACATCTCCATTCATTCTTGCTCGATAAATCTCTTTCGTAATTCTTCTTTCATCCATCCTCTCCAAATGACCAAACCAAACCAACCCAACCAAAAGAAATTACATCTATAAAAACAAAGAGCATTGCTTTTTTTTTTTCTAGGTATGCGTTTCGCTAAATTACAGTCCAGGATATGTATCATCAAGTTGCTGTCACAATTCCGGGTAGAACCGTCAGAGAACACGCTGAAGGAAATGAAGTTCGACCCAAAAAGGATTGTCCTGTCGCCATCTGACGGGATTTTACTGAACATAGTGCGGAGAAAATAAATACATATCATTTGTTTTAATGTTACGCACCAAGTTTTATTAAAATTACCACAAAAACTCTCTTTAAATGATATTTTCCATCAACATAATCGTATCAGCCTTTAACTGTCCACCTCCTAACATAAGCCTCATAAAGGTTTTGTCAGTAGTTGCCACGCTTGGCAGGCGGATTGGCAACCGTAGTTAGGCTTTGGAGATGTTTTAAGAGGGACGCTGCTGCCCATTCCTCGCCCTCTCTTAGTCGTCTCTTACGACACTCACGGGAAAGAAAGTGGTAGTCTATTCTAGCCGGGACCACATGGCATTACACATTTATATTAATACCACAGTGTAACTGATAAAGTATTTTTTTATTATAATAGAATATAATGCAATGGTAACCCCGCTTGCGTTATCGCTGACGGGGCAGTGAGGGATGATATTGAGGGACGAATCTAACAATATATCAATCACAATGGTTTCCAGGGGGAACCACGAGGAGGTCGACCTGACGCTCTATTGTTATACCCTATGTTGCTAGCAATGGGCTACTAATTCTCTTTACTAATAATCCCTCCCGCACCCACAGATAAAGCATTAGCAATGTGCCACAAAATAATTTATTGCTCACGCGTATAATTAGGCGCTTTCTCCGGGACAGTCATTGGACGACAGCTGGCCTTTTTATTAACGACCATCCGCTCGTTGGACGTCATCGTAAGAACATCAATTACGGCCCAGAAGAGAATTGTATCATATTTACGATTTTGAATTTTAACTTACCAACAATATGCAATGCAACGCTTCAAAATAATTTATTTTCGAAAATCCTTGTTAATTATCACTTCAAATAACTAACTACATTTCTTAGATTATACATATCGAGCCTTAAAAACGGGTCGACTTTTTGTCAGCTGATTGTCAAACTAGCCGACTCGTTTTTTTTAACAGTGTTCTATATACTTACGCATGAAATATATCTTGACGTATTATTTAATAACTAAAATAAATGAAAAAAGATGCAGGAATTATAAGACAAAATAAATATAAAAGTTATAAAGGAATCATTCATAACAATTTATCACGCAAAATCGTATGTAAAAAAGTTGACCCGTGTTTCCCGAAACATTTCTATGGAGACACTATGGTATATAGTAACTGCTTACCATCAGGTGAGCCGTATGCTTGTTTGCCATCTCAGTGGTATAAAAAAGAACTATATCTATATAATCTAAGTTGCATTTATTCAAGATCACTTAAATAAATGCTTACGCACATCATTATCGGGCGACTCGATTCATTGATAGCCAGCCCCTTGCTATCCGACTCGACCCACTGAAACTGCGAGATGTTACATCTCTGTGCATCTTCTAACGAATTCATCATGGGGAGTGCTCTGAAGAATTGTTCGGATTGATATCTGTATCAAATTTTCACCACCGTACAACCGCCACAAACTAAAGTTCCATCCCAACCATTCAATTGAGTGGCGGTCCTCCACCGTGCCTTTTTCAAGGCACTTTCTTCCACGCTCCACCACTTTTTGGAATTAACTTCCAGTAGAAATATTTCCGAACTGATACGACATTATAACCTTCAAGAATAGAGCATATTCCTTTTTAAAAGGCCGGCAGCACACTTGCATTGTCGTTGGTGTTGTGGGTGATCACGGGCGGCGGTAGTCACTTACTATCAGGTGAGCCACATGTTTGTTTGATAGATAGATAGATACTCTTTATTGTTTCCTCCAAAAGATTACAATAGTAAACTTATTATAAATATAAATAATTACAAGAAATAATCACAATGAGAAAACAATGGGCGACCTTATCGCTAAAAGCGATCTCTTCCAGGCAACCTTTGGATGGAGAGGAGTAAATATAAACAGTTTGAAATTAAATTAATTAATTAATTTACAAAATCAATTTTGTAATTTAATTAGTCTAGTTTTTGATTACATAGACAGTGTCTCAACACAAATGCTTCGAAAACAGCGGGTCAACATATTCATACAATTGCAAATCGAAATTGATTTAAAGTCGAGGCCTATTTTAAGACCAAAATTTGTTACTCAAAGTACCTATTTTATATAATACACGCATTATATGTATTCATATAAGTATGACTGTTTATTAATCATGTTAATAATTAATTCTTGATACGTATAAATCGATAAAAAATTTATAAACTTGCGAATCATGCTTACAATCATTTGCTTGTGGTATTTTGATATTCGCTCGGCGCGGTTTCCTTATTTATCAACATTTTTACGCTGAAGTGTAATGAGTTAACATTATTGATGTTTTTATCTACGCCATGTAAACAGAGATAGAACACAGATTTAGAGGTTAATGTTGCTAGGTTATTGACTAGCTGTGACTCGCGGTTTTGTTCACGTGAAGAAATGGAATAAAACTGCATGTATTAATCTGGGATAAAATGAAATTTGAAGTATATATATATATATATATATAAGGTAAATAATCTTGTCCTCTATTAACTAAATCAAATATATAATAGTAGGATATATTTTTAATTAATATAATTAAATATTGTGTCACACAAAATGAACGGAATTCAATTGTGAGAATACCAACTATTTTAACTACGCCTAGGCCAATCTGTAAATGTATTCTTTCAGATAAAAAAAAAAATCCAATTCGGTTTATAACTGACTGAATTATGAGGTCACAAACATAAAAAATACAACGGAATTTAGAACTTTCTTTTTGAAGTCGGTTAAAAATAGTACAATGACCCCACCTACACTAATGATTTATGCAAACAAGGTACCAGTAGAAAATATTAGGTGATCATAAAGTCAGGTAAGCTCATCGTGAATTCACTAGAAATTGACTACTATCGTCTCCAGACTGGACCACGACAACTTGATATAATGCATTTCTCTTAATTTGAGTTCTTATAACTAAAAATCCCCTATCCCAGTAGAAGTAGCTATATCTCATGGCTTTGTGGTAATTGTAGGGACTTGGTAAACTTAATATTTTTTGTTTTATTGACTTGTATTATTATGACCTGAAATACAGACTGTGTCCTTAATTTAATTGAAACTGGCATTAACACATATTGGTCGTCAACATAAGGGCATCTTTAGAAACTTTCACGTGTAAGTATCTAGCAATTTTAATAGCAGATACTAAAACAATGACTCCCTCTATCTATGACATCCTCTATCCGTGTACCAAAAGTTCAGTAAAATCCGTCCAACGTCCGGTTAAATATTTTTTTTAATGTCAAATTTATTACATATCATCTTAAATTTATATACAATGTCTTAAATAATATTAGATACTAATTATAAGTAATCTCCCAATGCACCACACCGAGGCAGCGTACCCAAGATGCTGGCAGCATTGCCTCTTTGGATTGCTAAACTTGAATAATTAATTCCTAAATATCATTACGAATTTTCACATTTATAATATTGGTAAAAATTAACAAAAAGACATGGATATATCTACGATTAGTTGAATAATGCCATTTCTATTAAGTTTTTATTAAAATTTTATTATATTCTAACAGCTTACGCTTACAGTGTTACCTAAATATTTAATTATATACACATAAATATTTGTATTTAAAAAAAAATCTTAATTATTTATTATTACAAAAACAATGAATCATGCAAAACAATCAATTTCATAAATGGATTTGAGGCATCAAGATAACGTATACGTACATATAAGATATCAGAATGTATTTATATAACGCGCTACATGAACGACTATTATTGTTGTATATAGATTCAAACGGGCAAGAACTTGTGTCAACGATGGATATAATTTACATACCGCTCGTGCTCATTGCACTGCTCTATTCTCTTTACTATTACTTCACAAGGACTTTTAACTACTGGAAGGAGAGAGGCATCGTTGGACCAGAACCAATTCCGCTATTCGGTAATTTGAAAAACAGTACATTTCGCTATGAAAACATTGGCGAAACAGTTGCTAGGATATACCATGAATACCCAAACCAGAAACTCGTCGGTATATTCACAATGACGAGTCCTACACTTCTAATCAGAGATTTGGATATCATCAAACACGTTGTGATTAAAGACTTTGACCAATTCTCCGATCGTGGAGTCGAGCTCAATAAGAAAGGCCTTGGTGAGAATTTGTTTCACGCTGAGACTAATACTTGGAGAGTACTCAGAAATCGTTTCACGCCATTGTTTACGTCGGGTAAATTAAAAAATATGGTTAAATTGATGACCGAACGGGGCGATCGGTTCATTAAATATGTTGAGTGCATTACAAAGGATAAAGCCGAACACAAAGTCCATTCCCTTGTCCAGAGGTACACTATGTCTACAATAGCAGCGTGTGCGTTCGGCATGGATATTGACGATATTTCAGACAACAATCCTGTAATTAAAACGTTATATAGAATAGACCGTGAACTGTTCACGATAAGGTATAGCTTTGAATTTATTCTCATGTATCCACGATTGCTCAAGAAACTGAATATGTCCTTCTTTCCTAAATATGTGATTGACTTTTTTTATAAATTAACAAAAACAATAATCGACGAAAGGCAAGGCAAGCCCACGAATAGGAAAGACTTTATGGATTTGATTTTAGAACTTAGAGAACAGAAGGAAATTCACTCAACAAAAAAGAACGATAGTGATAAACAAACTCACGTGGAGATTACTGAAAGTGTTATCGCCGCGCAGTCTTTTATATTTTTCGCAGCAGGATACGAAACTAGTGCTACTACCATGAGCTATGTGCTGTATCTGTTAGCGAAAAATCCTCATATTCAAGAGAAATTACATCAAGAAATAGATAAGACACTCGAGAAACATAACGGTGAATTGACCTACGACGCAATTCAAGATATGACTTATTTATCTAAAATATTCGACGAAACTCTCCGAATGTTTCCAATAGTGAGTCAATTACAACGATGTGCACAAAGTGATTACAAAATCCCTGGCACAGATATTGTTATTTCAAAAGATCAAATAGTGTTGATTTCACCGCTTGGTATTCATCACGATCCTAAGTATTATCCAAACCCAGAAGTGTTTGACCCGGAAAGATTCAATCCTGAAGTTGTAGGTACAAGGCATCCTTGTGCTTATTTGCCATTCGGATTGGGTCCAAGAAATTGTATTGGTAAGTATATCTTTAATACCCAGTCATCGTCATTTTATTTTAATATAAGCCTTTAACTGTCCACTGCTGAACATAGGCCTCTCCCCATAAAGGGGGTTTTAGTTGTAGTTGCCCTGCTTAATAGGCGGATTGGCAACATCAGTTAGGTTTCGGAGATGTTTTAAGAGGGACGCTGCTGCTCATCTCTCGCCCTCCCTATGTTGCCTCTTACGACACCCACAGGAAAAAAAGGGATGGTCTAAATGTTTAGTGGACGTTGGCATTTTGTTCTCTTTACCTGCACCCTAAGAACCTTGACGGAAAGTGGTCATCTATATCTCAAGTATATAAATAGTTTATCTTTTTAAGGAACATTCCGTTTAAGTCTTTTTTGTGCATCAGAGAACTCACAGTCCACTTTATTGATAGTGCCATTGTTCATTAAATGTATTTATATTTATTGACGGTCTATAAATTTTTTTACATCTAGATACAGTTTATTATCAGTTATGCAATAAAAAATTATTTCAATGTTCTTTGCAGGCATGCGCTTCGCTAAAGTGCAGTCCAGCATATGTATCATCAAGCTTCTATCGAAATTCCGGGTAGAACCATCAGAGAATACACTAAAGGAAATGCACTTCGATCCGATGAGAGGAGTTTTAACACCATCTGATGGATTATTGGTGAACATAGTTCAAAGGTGTTAACTTCGTAAGAATCCAGTTTGAAATTAAAAAAGGAAACATGTCAGCATTTTATAAATAAGTTTAATAGAAGTATTTTTTTAAGTATTAACTTTATATTGTAAATATGATTTTTGTAAATAAAGACGTAATATTTTGTAAATTAAAATAACACTTGTTTATTTATAATTTCTATTCCATTAGGCGCTAATGAATTGTATGTCTGGTGTATGAACTGCGTGACATCAAGTTTTTTTAGAGAAGACAGATTGTACTCTGAGAAGAAAGCGATAAAAATTACAAACATTTAAAATTACGAAGACAAAAGTAGCAATTGTTTATTCCATTTATATATATGTCAAATATTTAAAAAGAGATGAAGGAAATAAAACAATAAAAATTAATAGTTTAGCTAGTGTTTATCGTTTACGCAGAAGTGTATGCAAGTTTTATTTGGACGCTAATTTACCAATATATCCATCATCATCGTCATTTCAGCCATTATCCGTCTACTGCTGGACATAAGCCTCCCCCATAGACTGCCATAAAGAACGGTCCTGAGCCACCTACATCCTTTGACTCACTGCAATTTACTATTACGTCCGTAAATTGCCTTTTTCTTTTTATTACTACAATAACAGCATTGACAATAGTAATGGCATTCATAATACTTTAAGTAATAACAATGATCCAATCTGTTATCAACGCTATCGTTTCATCATTATTTCAATCATATAAATCATTATTTCATCATATTCTAACAGTTCATTCCGTCACAGGTAACACACGATACCAAGCTCCGTCTAGTAACGTTTTCTAAATTGTCCTAAATGAGAATCGAATTTGCAACTTATTGTCATCAAGCCAATACATGATGCAGTGATAAATACGTGACCAACCATATCACGTACGATGTTGGTCTATATTATAAACATTAGACAATCATCAACGTTCTTGTCTTAGAATATTTTTTTATTTACTTCCTTGATTTATTTCCACTTACTACTTTCTTTTAAGAGCATAGTAGAGGGAAAAATAGAGGGCAAAAGAAAAAGAGAAAGACCGAAGACATGGGACAGATAAAAGAAACACTAGGTGTCATGTCGTATAGGGAAGTCAAGGATATGACCTGGGATAGAACTGGCCGGAGGAAGATGCATGAATTAGTTGCACCGACAAGAGGAAACTTTTAAATGAAAAAAGAGACTACTTTCTTTTAGGCATCCTTGGTCTATACCCATGAAGAGGTTTTCACACGGTTTGTGAAATCTTTTTTTATTATTATCTTTATTTCCTTGTATTTTTTTTATCGTATTTTACATCTATACTTTTCTTTTCAATTTCTGTACATATTGATGTTTTAATAGAACCTAAACAATAAGTTAGAATTTAATTGAAATTATCACAGGAACACTCTCTAAATGAAATGAATAATAAATCAAGTTTTTAAAATAAATATTTATATATTTGAATTATATATCAGCAGTATCTTATAGTTGGTCAAATTATTCGTTGGTTTACATTTTCAATAAATTCAATTAAAATAGACTAATACCTTATCTCTTTATTATTCTTCGCTACAATTGCTAATTCATCAATGATGAACGATATTTCAATAAGATAAGATAAATCTTCTTTGCTTTTATATCTATATATGTTTCTTGTTACTGATTTGTTTTATTTTGTAACTAACTAATTTGGTAAACGTAATTTAGCCCTTTAAAATTATTAAGGTTCATAACAGAGGATAAATCTATCTTACCTGCCAAATTAAAGTAAACAACAAACTTAAAAATTTTCAATATATTTCATGCATTTAAAATATTAAATTTTAATACTGAAAGTTACAAATCTACTTCCTCCGCACTATATTCAACAAAATCCCGTCAGATGGCGACATGACAGCTCTTTTTGGGTTGAACTTCATTTCCTTCAGCGTGTTCTCAGACGGTTCTACCCGGAATTTTGATAAGAACTTGATAATACATATGCTGGACTGCATCTTGGCGAAGCGCATACCTTAAAAAGAAAAGAACACAAAATTTTTTTTTTTTCATATGATGTAATAACACTGCAACTCAAAAAAATTATCAAAATACCTATAAACAACGAGACGTTTCGTAGATACATATTTAAATATTCTTTTACTTAAAAATGCGAAATTTAACTCACAAATAATTTACACCTTATCATCATATAAGCTGTTACCTGTCCACTGCTGAACATAAGCCTCCTCCTTGAGAGAGCTCGTTTAATCTAATCTCGAGTATATATTACTGTATGTTTTTTTTTATCATTTAAGAATTTTAAAACTTTTAAATTTTGTTTTGCATTAAACAGGATCTGTTCCCCAAAGAAAACTCAACCGTCACAAAATTAATATGAGGCCAACATTTTTATGTTATCTTAACAACTGCAAATAGAATAAAGAATATCTCAAAAAAATTTTAAAACAGAAATTATCAAGAATTTTTCAAATTCTTGTTTGTAAACAGCCAACTCTTCTGATCTATCTATATATTCACACTAATCCAAAAACAGAATAATCAGAGCTATTAAAATGTTAACAATCTCTAGAACAAATAAAAGCAAAAATTTATATTTCTATCTACACGTATTTTCTTAGATATTAACGACTAAAACTCACCAATGCAATTTCTTGGGCCAATTCCGAATGGCATATATGCACAAGGATGCCTTGCGGCTGCATTTTCAGCATTGAATCTCTCCGGATCGAATACTTCTGGGTTAGGGTAGTATTTTGGATCATAATGAATACCACGAGCTGAAGCTAACACTATTTGATCTTTCTCAATATCAATATCAGTGCCAGGGATTTTGTACTCGCTTTTAGCACATCGTTGCAATGGTTCCACTAGAGGAAATAAACGGAGCGTCTCATCGAACACTTGCCGTAAATAAGCCATATCTTGGATTGTCTCATAAGTCAATTGTCCGTCGTGGTTCTCAAGTATTTTATCTATTTCTTGGTGTAATTTATCTTGAATATGGGGATTTTTAGCTAACAGATATAGCATATAGGTCATGGTAGTAGCACTAGTTTCATATCCTCCTGCGAAAAATATAAAAGACTGCGCGGCAATAACATTTTCAGAAATCTCTAAATACATTTTTTCATCGATCCCGTTCTTTTTTGTAAACTGAATTTCTTTCTGGTTTCTCAATTCTAAAATTAAATCCATAAAATCTTTTCTATCAGTGGGCTTGCCTTGTCTTTCTCTGATTACCGAGCTTGTCAACTTATGAAAAAATTCGGTGACATATTTGGGGAAAAAAGACAAATTCAACTTTTTGAACAAAGTTGGATACATTAAAACCACTTCAAATGCAACATTTAAAGTGAATATTTCATGGTCTATTCTATATAGTGTTTTAATAATCGGATTATTGTCTGTAATATCATCGATATCCATACCAAAGGCACAGGCTGCAATAGTAGATAAGGTATATCTTTGTACAAGGGGGTGAATTTTATGTTCTATTTGCTTCTCTGTAATACTCTCGACGTATTTAATGAACTGGTCACCACGTTCGGTCATCAAATAAATCATATTCTTCAATTTACCCGACGTAAACAATGGGGTGAAACGATTTCTGAGTGCTCTCCAAGTATCAGTGTCAGCATGAAACAAATTTTCACCAAGGCCTTCCTTACTTAATTCCACTCCACGATCGGAGAACTGATCGAAATCTTTGATCATAATGTGTTTGATGATATCCAGATCTCTGATTAAAAGTGTAGGTGCGGTCATTCTGTATATTCCAACTATCTTCTCATTTGGAAACTGGTGGTAAACATCGGCTGCGGCTTCTCCATAACTTTTATATCGAAGTGCACTGTATATGTTGTTACCGAATAAAGGAATTGGTTCTGGTCCAACGACGCCTCTGGTCTTCCAGTAGTTGAAAGTCCTTGTGAAGTAATAGTAAAGAGAATAGAGGACTGCTATAAACACTAGCGATATGTACATCGATTCCATTGTTATCACTAGTTCTTGCCTGCTCGAATATAGATTCACTAATGACGTTATTTGATTTAGCATGTTATATAAATACTTTATGATAACTTAAAAACTTTATCTACGTTCAACAAGTAGGTATTTGAGGTATGATATCTTTAATTAATGGCTAATGTACATTTTTTTTATAAAAACAATATGTAATATGATTTATAGTTTCAACGACATTGTGTTATTGATATATTCATTGTTTACTAGCTTTACCCAAGCTTTATCTACATGACAGGGACACGTTGACTGACCAGGATAAAAAGTAGCCTATTGTTATATCTATGTCCATCTTAATGCCAAATATGTAGTGAGAGTACGCCAACTTCCATGACAATACTTGAATCGTTAATACAATATAATTAATTCGTTTTCATTAGCATAAAATAATTATGAATATTTTTTATTCAAGTATTTTTGAATAGTCATTTTTTTACGATTCCACCGCCCATTCGGAATGTATTTTCAGCTGAGAAGAACATGTGAGAAACTCAATTGCTGCTTTTTGCAACTAAAGTCGATTTTGCAATTATAAATTTGTATCGGTACAGACTGGAAAACAACATAAGAGTTATTAAACAAATCAAGTCCGCTGCTGTGAAACATGGCTGTGTTCTGGTTTATAGAATTAAATGGTATCAAAATTACACGGTACAGATTCGTAACACTATATTCCTCGGGAATGGCAACACAATGAGGGGTACAGTAGGCATTAAACTCCATTCTATGATGTTCACGTCTGTGGGCAACGGTTATCACTTTGTATCAAGTGGGAGTCCAACTTGTTTACTATTCTTTTTTTTTATACAACTTAGAATGGCAAACAAGCTGACGGCTCACCTGATAGAAAGTGGTAACCGTCGCCTATAGACATGAGCAGTACCATGAACATAATAGAGTATACTGTTTCGCTCATGATACCCCCCATGCGTTGTCATTCCTGAAGGCTCAGGTGTTATTCCTCTGTACCCAGTAAATTCACGCCATATCCCACCCTTCAAACCGAAACACAGCCATGCAAACACAACTGCTTCACGGTTGAAACACGAATGGGACAGAGGTACCCGAGCAATCGACTTTTGTACAAAGTCTCCCTCTGGTAAATTCTATGTATTATAGAAAAATAACATTGATTTCAACATGCCATGACTATCTTTTTATTAAATGCTACAGAAACCAACTATTCTAGCCACACTCTTACTTTTGAAAAAGTACAAAAATTTTCGGAAATCTCTTCAAAATAAACTTGTTATTGATATCGGTTTTCGATATTCTTCTTCGGGCTTCATCCAATTAATTTCGCAGGAACTATGTGATGACCTCATGAATAATGTTCCTATTAGTTTCGTCATTATATGACGTAGGGATGCCGGTAAACAAGTATAGTGGGGCGGTCCCGAAACTAATAAATTGATTACTATTTACAATATTACAAACTAAAGGGGGGTAAAGAGGTTTCTTCATCCCGCGCGCGTAATACCTCTGGTAAACTAAAGGGAGTAAAGGGGTCGGCAACGCGCGCGTAAGTATAGTGGGGCGGTCCCGAAACTAATTAATTGATTATACTGATAATAAACTACTTACTTACTACTTATTAATAAACACCAGAGGGAGACTTTATACAAAAGTCGATTGCTTGGGCACCTCTGTCCCATTCGTGTTTCTACCGTAAAGTTTGTTGTTGCATGACTGTGTTTCGATTTGAAGGGTGGGATATGGCAGTGAAATTACATGGTACAGAGGAATAACACCTCTACCAAATCCTCAGGAATAGGTTTAGGTTTAGGTCGAGGTTTTCCCAAGAGACTACAGCATGGGGTTCTTCAAAAGGGGGTAAAGATTTATTTTTCTTCATTATTATTTTGGCAATTTTATTTATTTTTATGCACGCGTAATACCTCTGGTATTGCAGGTGTTCATAGGCTACGGTAACCGCTTATCATCAGGTAGGCCGTATGCTAGTTTGACACCTCAGTGGTATAAAAAAAAATTCATTTGGTCAAGTTATTCCTCCTAAATACGAATATTCCTATAATGTCTATACAACTCGGTATGGCAAACAATCTGATGGTCATGTAAAGGGAGATGTAAGAAAGACTCTGTTTTCCGCACTTAGCCTCCCATTTGGGCCGTTGTGCGTGTGTAAAGGGAGATAGTAACCTGCGCTTACGGGGCGGAAAGGAATTATTAGTGATGAGATTTAACAGCCGCATTGCTAGTAATACACCCTAGCAGGTCGACCTCTACGCAATTTCCCTTGGAAACCAAAATGGTTAATGCTTATCCATCTGGACGAGTGGCGGTCCTACACCGTGCGATTTTTCTAGACACTTTCTTCCATGCACAACCACTCTTTGAAATCAACTTCCAGCAGGAGTATTTTCGTACCGATACGATAACATAACCATCAAAAAAAGAGCATGTTCCTTTTTAAAAGACCGGCAGCACACCTGCAATGCCGTTAGTGTTGTGGGTGATGATGGGCAGCGGTAGTCATTTACCATCAGATGAGCCGTACGCTCGTTTGCCCCTATGTTGTAAAAAAAATTGGTTACTATAGGCCAATTGATCTAGCTTCACCCTCACTTGTTCGTGACCTGCTTCAGCTTCACCTCTCACTGGTACACCGCCAGCGTAAATACAAAAATCGTCCCTTACACACATAACACGTATGTTCATGACGCAGGTGGGGTTACCATTCCATTGTAAGTGTAACCATATGTAAGTGATTATGCTGTCACAGATATTTATTATTTTATATAATTTTTACAGATCTATTCTTTTTAACGCGCCACCTACCTATTTATGCTTTAATTCCTTCTACCCAAAGGTTGTCTGGAAGAGATTGCTTTGCAATAAAACCGCCTTTTGTACTACACTATGCTTATCGAAAATTGTTCAACAAATCTTGTAATGATGGTTTAATAAAGTGTTAAATAAATAAATCATCTGTTAAAAACAATTTACCTTTAAACTTTGAAAGTAATAGCAATTATAAATAAATTAAATACCTTATGCATGATTTATATGAAACGAAATGAAGCAGGTGCAGTTTGTAATGCGGAAAATTAAAAAACGATTTGTCTTCAAAGTAAACGGTTAATATATACAGATTTTTAGATATCCCGCGACTTCGTCCACTTAGGAAAAATAAAATTTATTTTACAAATAAATTACAAGTAATTTACAAGTAAATTTAATTTTAAACGCTTTTGAATAGTGTATTTTCACGATTTCATCTTCCAGGTTGGCCATTAGCTTACGAGTATTTTATATATGTTTTTTATTGCACTTAAACAATATATGCAGCGATTAGTTTAACAACTTGTTAGCTAGTTAGGTGGTGGTAGTATTTTCCGTTCTAAGTTGAACAAATCTTATAGAATCCTTGATAGAGCTCTCTATCTCAATGGAGTGTTAATTAGGTTTCGTTGTGTATTTATTAAAACCAATAGTTATTACAAATGTATTTTCTTGGCAGTATGTTTATCAAAATCCCGTCAGATGGCGACATCACTACCCTTTTTGGGTCGAACTTCATTTCCTTCAGCGTGTTCTCAGATGGTTCTACCCGGAATTTTGATAGGAACTTGATAATGCATATGCTGGACTGCAGCTTAGCGAAGCGTAAGCCTGGAAAAAATAAACAAATCGTTGCAACTCAAACAATAACTGGTAACTGGCACCACGTTTATTTTGCTATGCAAAATGGAATAGAATGGATAAAATCAGAGAAATCGGACCCTCTATATAAATGGCAAAGGAATTCATCAATAGAGTTGATATCGCTAGCGAGTCTGTGAGACAGAATGAGTTACAATGAAATGAAATGAAATTTATTTGCCAGAAACATTGTTGATAAGGTGTTGCATTTGTCAAGTTTACAAGATGTCCATTATGTTTCACCATATCAAATGGCATTCGAATATTAAGCACTAAATTTACATATACATATTTACTTTTTAACAACTTATGAACGAAGATGACATACAACAAGACAGCGACGTGTTTAAATTCTAGATGTATGAGAGTCCCGGAATGTGAAGCTGTGACCTCTCAGCGTTTAGGAATTTTCAGAACAGTGAAGTCGCTCCGTGAAATCTGTGATATGTGCGAATAGAGCTAAACTATCAGCTGAGCGTAGTAGCCACGACTTATACGCACAATAGCTCAAATGAAAGACTCAGCGCGAAAAAGAGAGTCCAATTTGCATTAATGTAATGCAAATTGGATTCACATTACAAAACATCAACGTCCAATATATGTCGTTACCTTTTTGTATCTCTTGAATTCGCCACCGATAGCTATGCATTGGTTTGTCACTTGTTTGCGAGGCCAGAATCTAAATTAAAATATTAATATATTGTTTTCATCTTATAGTAAGTTCCTTGAGAAGCGTTCACAAAAAATAAAAACAGAATTCTGATACCTACTGTATCTACTAATATATGGTATAAATAATTTCTTAATATAATAAACTTACCAATACAATTCCTTGGACCAACTCCGAATGGCATATATGCACAAGGATGCCTCGCAGCTGAATTTTTTGCATTAAATCTCTCCGGATCAAACACTTCTGGATTAGGGTAATATTTAGGATCATGATGAATACCTCGAAGTGAAATTAATACTATTTTGTCTTTCTCAATAACAATATCAGTGCCTGGTATTTTGTAGTCGTTTTTAGCACGTCGTTGTAATGGTTCCACTATAGGAAATAGACGGAGCGTCTCATCAAACACTTGATGTAAATAGGTCATACTTTTTATTATTTCGTAGCTCAATTCACCATTATGGATCTCATATGTTTTATCTATTTCCTGATGTAGTTTTTCTTGGACGTGCGGATTCATTGCTAACAGATACAACAAGAAAGTCATGGTAGTAGCACTAGTTTCGTATCCTCCTGCATAAAATGCGAAAGACTGCGCGGCAATGATACTTTCAGAAATCTCCAAATGCATTTGTATATCGTTCTCAAACTTTTTTGTAGACTGAATTTCTTTTTGTTCCTTCAATTCTAAAATCAAATCCATAAAGTCTCTCCTTTCTGTGGGCTTGCCTTTTCTCTCACTAATTATAGAGTTTGTTAATTTGTAAAAGAAGTTGGTGACATATTTAGGAAACACAGATAAATTCAGTTTCTTGAGTAGACGTGGATACATCAAAATTATTTCGAATGCAAAATTTATAGAAAACACTTCACGGTCTATTCTATTCAGGATTTTAATCATTGGGTTGTTATCTGAAATATCGTCAATGTCCATACCAAAGGCACACGCTGCTATTGTAGAGATAGTATACTTTTGAACTAGGCTGTGGATTTGATGTTCTGCTTGATTTTCTGTGATGCTTTCAACGTATTTAATGAATTTGTCTCCGCGTTCGGTCATCAGATGAATCATATTTTTTAATTTTCCAGATGTAAACAATGGTGTGAAACGACTTCTGAGTACACTCCAAGTCTCGGTGTCGGCATGAAACAGATTTGTTCCAAGACCTTCTTCACTTAGCTCGACGCCACGGTCGGAAAATTTATCGAAATCTTTGATTAGTATTTGTTTGATGATGTCCAAATCCTTGATTAAAAGATAAGGTTCAGTCATTCTGAACATTCCAACCACTTTTTCATTTGGATACTGATGGTAAAGATTAGCGATCGGTTCTCCATGAGTTTCATATCGAAGTGCAGCTTTTATAACATTGCCGAATAATGGAATTGGTTGTGGTCCAACGATGCCTCTGTCCTTCCAGTAGTTGAACGTCCTTGTGAAGTAATAGTAAAGAGAACAGAGCACTGCTATGAGCACTGGCGATATGTACATCAGTTCCATTTCTGTCACTAGCTCTAACCTCTTTGAGTGTAAATTCACATATGAACTCCATTCGTCTATACGTGATAACACGACAATAAATTAATACCAGTATATCTTGAACATGCTATCTAAAATTTCGTGTTTAATTTTGATACTGTAACTATCAATAAGCTTGATAATGTATATGACAAATATATCGATATATTTTTTTTAAATAGTTGAATTTCTATCATATCATTTTAAGACAAATAGGCATTTTTTTATTAATCAATGTATCCTTTTATATTAACTTGTACCTTACCTGACCATACGGTCGTTAGCACAAAAAATTAGGTAGATGCACCTTTTGTTCTTTCTTTAAAAGTTTTTATAACTCGATTAATAACGACATTAGTTGCTACCTTTTCCTTAGACAATACAGTTTTCTTACGCGACCTTAGAGTTCTAAACGCCATCTCTTAGTCTAAAAAAATATTTTTGTCTAATATAAAAAAAACGGTTATTTTCTTAACATTACCCATTATTCCTATTGATTACTGTGAATTATAGTTCAATGATATTTCATTGCCTAGTTTCAAATCGTCCTATATCATCGTCTTTCTTTTATTCACTTTGTACTTTAATTTTTTGTATTAATGTTGTTAAAGTATTGATTGCGAATCAGAGGTCCCAATATTCCCAAATGTCAGCCTAAACTTCTGAATTTTTTAAATTCATGTTTGTACCTTTTAAAAATGTTAGTCAGGTAAATCTACCGTCAGATAAGTCACGTCAAATGCCTTTATGCGTAAGAAGGCGGCCTCAGAAGTCAGAAGCTACGATCTCAAACAAGTATTCGACTCGGCCTTTCTAAACACTCTTTGTTTACCACTAATTTATTTAAATTTTAATGCACAGTGAAACTATGCACAAATGGCGAACTTAACACCGGTCAGTGTCAACCATTGAGGAAACCGCGAAATAAGTAAGTGGTGCATTATTGAATTGAGGAAATATCAAAATACTTAATATATTCATATATTATAAACATATAAATAGAATAATATAAACATATACATAATATATTGAACAAGAGAATATATACATGCATAAATAAGTACATATATAAATAAATAAATATAACTATAATAAACAATTAACTGTATTAGAAGACCAAATTAGACAATCTATGACTCAAACTGAGTAACCAGACAGTTTAAGTTTAAATGGAAAGTGAGAAAAGAAATAAAAGGGAAAGAAATATATTACTACTTTTGTTGATGAAGGGGGAGGGCAGATTAATAATAGATAAACAGATATATACTCTTTATTGTTTCCTCCAAAAGATTACAATAGTAAACTTATTATAAATATAAACAATTACATGAAATAATCTCAATGAGACAAAAAAAATATGGGCGACTTTATGGTTAAAAACTATCTCTTCCAGGCAACCTTTGTAATAATTGCTGAGAGAAAATATGTTTAGAAAATATATCTATATATTCCCTTTAACTCATTATAAAATAGTTACAATTTTCTCGCTAATATTTCTTTTAACGATATTCATCATCAATATCGTAACATCACTACGGTTCAACATCACGCTGATAAGACTGAATACACTGTAATTAGTGATTTTTTAATTAGTCATCATCGTTCTTTTCTTTAAACTGTTGTTATAAACAACACGTTAAACATAGTTAAAAAAAAAATGTGTGAATCTTTAAAAATGACTTGAATAGTGAAATCATTCAGGTATTTATTTATTGCATTCTTATATATAGGTACCATTTAAACTTATCATTAATGTTTCTGGCAAATAAACTTCATTTCATTTCATGTTCATTTCGTGTTCATTTCAAGTTATTTCCAAGTTCATTCCATGTTCATTCCGCGTTATTTTCATGTTCTTTTCTTGTTCATTCCGTGTTCATCCCGTGTTCATTCCGTATTCGTTCCGTGTTCATCCCGTGTTCATCCCGTGTTCATTACGTGTTCATCCCGTGTTCATTCCGTATTCGTTCCGTGTTCATCCCGTGTTCATCTCATGTTCATGTCATTTCATTTAATTTCGTTTCATTTCATTACAGTGTTCTCGTAACTATGCCCATGGTGTCCTTTATACATTGTCATTCCTAAGAACTAAGGTTTTAGATCATCATATCTCATAATTTCATTGCTATATCATATCTTTCATACTAAAACAGCATAAACACAGCTATTTCACGATTTAAACACGTGTAGGCAAGAGGTACCCAATCAAACGATTTGTGTGTAGTCTTCCTGACAAATAAACCGTAAACTAAATTCAAGTATTTGTATATCCTTTATCTACTATCGATACAATAAAAAATAAATTAAATAAACATTATATATAAATTAAGAATTAATTGTGTTAAGTCTTCAAGTAATTATTTAAATGTTACACATAACGAAACTGTATGTTTGTACGTGTGTGTAAGTATTCTATTTTTAATAGACACTTTAGTAAGATGTAGTTTATGTACAGTATGTTTTCATTATCATAGGCGACGGTTATTACTTCCCATCAGGTGGGCCGTCAGTTTGTTTGCCATTCTAAGTTGTGTAAAAATAAAAATATTTCTCGCCACTTAGTATAGAATTGTTAGTGTTAATTTCATGTTTTTTTTTTAGAAATAATCTTTTATGTTTTGCTACCAAACTCATACTGTTTACTAATTTTTAAGCTGGGTACATTTTTAATAATTTTTAATAGACTTCAAAAAGTAGAAGGTTTGCAATTCGGCTATCTTTTCTCATGTTTGTAACCTTATAACTCCGTTTTTTTCTTAACCGATTTGGAAAATTCTTTTTTTTTATTTTCTGAAAGCATTTACTTACAGATTTGTCTTATAGAAATTTTATTAAACTTGATTCAGCAATATAGTTTTTAAATCCAAATAACTTATTTTGTCTCAATTGAAGTCGACTTTTTTTATGGGACTTTTTTTTTATATCTTTAAATATTTTAGAAGGAAAGAAAGAGTTACATTTCTTTAATCTTTTTTTTAGATTTTGTGATATTTATTATATATAGCCAGCAGCAATTTATTATATCTGCTGCTGACTGGCTCCTTAATGGGAAAGCTTATGTTCAAGGTAGACAGTGAATGGCTGATAATGATGATGACGAAGGTAAATCGCCATAGAAACGAATGTAAATTACGTAATCCAGCATATTTTTGGGCTCGTACAAATTGTTTTGACATAAACTATAAAACTGTAAGGTACCCAAAGTCTGATGACGAAAACTAAAGGCTATAATTTTTTTTTTTTTATTCATTATACATATAAAAAAAAACTTAAAAAACTTAAACAATATAACATAAAACTAAATGTACAAGTTTTCTTATTACTTTACTATGGGTATCGAAAAAACCATCCGTCCGTCTTAAAACATCTGTAAAGCCTGACGGCGATTGCCAGTCCGCCTGCCAAGCGTGGCAACTACTGGCAAAACCCCCTCTAGGGGGAGGCTTATGTTCAGCAGGGGATAGGTAAAGGCTGATATAAAGATATGTCTATATATCAATATATTACTGCATATTCGCCGATACAGACTAATATTATCAATATGAGGGTAGTCTTTAAAAATTATGTTGGATGTTCTTTATTTAAATTTAATATTACCCACACAACGTCAATAATTTTTATGCTTACATATATACTCGTATAGTGAGTACAAATACTACTGATTATGATTGTGTGTGTGATTGTGTGTATGTGTGTGTGTGTTTGTACAGTTATGGAATGTTATTATAATAAGCTTTATGTGAGTATTGAAATTTATATACAGGTCGTTTTAGTAAGTTTTTTTTAATGCATGATAGAATGGTAACCCTGTTTGAGCTAACACCATACGGTGGCAGGGCACCAGTGAGGAATGAGAAGGGAGGATTAATCCTCCCTTCTCATATATCCTTCTCACATATCAAAGGGAGGTCAATTAGCCCATTATGATTAATACACCTGGAGTTCAGCACGATGGTTTTAAGAAGGACCACGGAGAGGTCGACCTGACTGGTTGATTACAATTATTTTGTTTAATTCCGCTACCATTAGTATGCGTACGGTTGCCAACACTCGAATATTGTCTTCTGTAAGTAATACAAATAAATTTACTTGACTTTTCTTATTAAATGGAATTACATTTTGAATGGGCGATAGAAGCGTAAAAAAAGGACTGTTCAAATTTGCATAAATTTAAGTTTAATAAAAGTTATGTGTTTATCTGTCATTTATATTGTTTTATTTATTACAATCCAATATGTATCTCCAAGATCTTTGACTAATATAGTATTATTAAATATTACTTTATTAAAATTTAATTTCTTTATTTCGTTTTACTAGATTCGTCATATTTCCTAGCGCGTGCTATGTATATATTTATATGTGTACGTAGTCTAAATATGTATTTGATTTTTTTGTGCATTATACGTAAAAAATATTAATTCACTCTTGCGCCACCTGCCCACTTCTATATGTTCTCCTTTAACCAAAGGTTGTCTGTAAGAAATTGCCCTAACGATAATACCGCCTTTTGTACCTTTATATGTATTTTTTGATCTGTACTCCATACTACTTTATTTTAATTCAATTGTGTATATGTCGTTGTTTATTTTTATGTTTTTGGTGCAATAAACAGTTAAATAAATAAATAAAATTTTTAACAGCCTGTAGTTTTTTTTTTTGTGATTAGGCTTCGGCTACAACAACCGCACGATGAGCGACCAGTGCAGTTTCTAATATGGCAGTGTTCATAATATCTTGTGTACAGGAAAATATTTGGTACTGTAGTTCCTTCATATAATCATTTGTAGTAAGATTTAGTTCCAGTATAATTTATTAATCATATTAAATACCCCACATGTTCTTGGAAAGTGTAGATAACATTTCGTTCGAGATATTGCAGTGTATTTACTTTTATATAAAGCGCGAGAGAACTTTATAAGTGAATGTGAAGTCAAACGAGCAAGAACTAGTGGTAGCAATGGAGCTAACATACATACCGTTCGTGCTCATAGCAGTGCTCTGTTCTCTTTACTATTACTTCACAAGGACGTTCAATTATTGGAAGGACAGAGGCATCGTTGGACCAAAACCAATCCCACTGTTTGGTAACATCAAAAATAGTGCACTAAGATATGAAAATCATGGGGAGACGATCACTAAAATTTACCAGCAGTATCCAAACGAGAATATCGTCGGTTTATACAGAATGACCACCCCAACTCTTCTGATCAGAGACCTGGATATTATCAAACAGATTATGATTAGAGATTTCGACAAATTCTCCGATCGTGGGTTCGAGTTCAGTGAAGATGGTTTGGGAACAAATCTGTTCCATGCTGACGCTGATACTTGGAGAATACTCAGAAATCGTTTCACACCGCTGTTTTCATCTGGGAAATTAAAGAATATGATCCATATGATGATCGAACAAGGTGACAAGTTTATAAAATACGTCCAGACTACTACGAATAATCAAAAGGAAAACGAAATCTACAATCTGCTACAGAGATATACGTTGTCCACAATAGCAGTATGTGCCTTTGGTATGGATATCACTGATATTTCAGATAAGAATTCATTAATTCAGACCTTATTTAGAGTGGACCGTGAAATATTTACCCGAACCTTTGCATTCGAACTGATTCTAATGTATCCGCGTTTATTCAAAAGGTTGAACTTGTCAGTTTTTTCTATATACGTCACGAATTTCTTTTATAAACTAACAAAAATTGTAATCAAGAAGAGACAAGGCGAACCCACAGAGAGGAACGATTTTGTAGATTTAATTTTGCAATTGAGAAAACAAAAAGAGATTCACTCAACGAAAATAGATGAGAAAAGAATGCACTTGAAGATATCGGATAGTGTTATCGCCGCGCAGTGTTTTGCGTTTTTCGCGGGAGGATACGAAACTAGTGCCACTACAATGACTTACATGCTATATCTTTTGGCGAAACATCCGCACATTCAAGAAAAAGTGTATCAAGAAATAGATGAAGTACTCGAGACGCATAACGGCGAATTGTCCTACGATACAATCAAAGATATGACCTATTTAGGCAAGGTATTCGACGAGACACTCCGTTTGTTTTCTCTAGTGGAGCCATTGCAACGGCGTGCTAAATGCGATTATAAAATCCCAGGCACTGATGTGGTTATCAGAAAGAACCAAATAGTGTTAATTTCACCTCGTGGTATTCACCATGATTCTAAATATTATGCAAACCCAGAAGTGTTTGATCCTGAGAGATTTAATTCCGAAAATGCAGCTGCTAGGCATCCTTGTGCCTACATGCCATTCGGAGTTGGCCCAAGGAATTGCATTGGTGAGTTTACCACCATTAATTCAATTATAAATGGTTACTATGATATGACTATAGTATATATAATCCGTTAGTAGAAATTTATTGTCTCACTACTCAGCAAGAAACCTAATATAATGGTATTTATCTAAATGCACTTTGCCCCAAATACTAAAATAAAAATTACAATAGATAAATTATAATAAGTCCCTATTGCTAAGCAGCCTCTTTCACACAAACTTTGGGATAAATGGAATAGTCATAATAAATATAAATACATATTTTGAATATATATTTATGGACCTAAGAGGTTTTGTCGAAAAAAAATTAATCTATAAAAAAAATATACCAGTTTCGTATCATTAATGCATAACATATTTTTTTTCTCTTTGAGAGAGAGAATATAAATATATATATATATATATAAATAAATATATATAATATATATATATATATATATATATATATATATATATATATATATATATATATATATATATATATATATATATATATATATATATATATATATATATATATATATATATATATATATATATATATATATATAATATCATTACATCAGCCTTTAAGTGTCCGCTGCTGAACATAAGCCTCCTATTAGAGGGGGTTTTGCCAGTAGTTGCTACGCTTGGCAGGCGGCTTGGCAACCGCTGTCAGTTTTTTCGATACCCACGGGAAAGGAAGGGGTGGCCTATGTTATGCCGGGAACATAAGGCTAATATAATATATATATTCTCTCACTCAAAGAGAAAAATTCATAATTTTATCATCATTTTATCATCCCAAAATAATGTTAATTTACCTTTGAAAATTATTTATTTACATGTATGTTTTTTTCTAGGCATGCGCTTCGCTAAACTGCAGTCCTTCATATGTATTGTAAAATTTCTATCGAAATTCCGGGTAGAACCGTCTGAGAACACGCTGAAGGAAATGAGATTCGATCCAACAAAAGCTGTAATGTCGCCATCTGATGGACTTATGGTAAACATAATGCCGAGGGAATAACTTCGATAGAACTAATTAGGTAAAAGAAGGTAACAGATAGTTCGATACTCCTTATTGTTTCCTCCAAAAGATTACAATAGTAAACTTATTATAGATACAAACAATTACAAGAAATGATCATAGTGAGAAAACAATGGGCAGCCTTATCGCTAAAAGCGATCTCTTGCTGGCAACTGAACTAAACTATACAATTAAACCTATAAACCTTCTCATTAAATCATTCTCTCCATAAATGAAAAACACATTAAAATCCGTTTGGTAGTTTAATAGATCTAAGTGTACAGACGGTGGAAAACGACTTTAATCTATACTACACAGAGATATGATCTGGCTGGTCTAGCCGTATCTATGACACTTATTTATTTATTTATTTAATTTATTAAAGGTATCTGTCTGTCTTTTAGTATTCTGTTTATAACAGTTATCTGATTCTAGGCATTACATTCACTAGAATCAAATAAATCTAGACGTCTAAGTGATGTTTTAATCTTAAACATAATACTTGACTCGATTACATTCTTTTATATTATGTCTTAGTGTAAAAAAAAAATTATTATAATTAATTAAAAAGTATTAAAAATATTTTTATTCAATAATAATGTATTAATGTGTAAATAATAATAATATAAAAACATTGACAATATATGTAATACAATTTATAATGTACCTTGTTATAAAAAATAAGTTCTAATATAAATTTAAATAATTAATAATGTAAATATAATATTCATAATGTAAATATGATATGCATAGTGTAAATGTAATATACATAATATAAATTTATTTAATGCATAATTTTTTTTTTCTTTTTCTAGTCTGCTAATTGGCAATCTGTTCCTTATAGAACAATAATCCAATCTGCTGTTTGGATGAAAAAAAAATGCTTTAATTATATTTTTAATTTACACAATTGTAGTTTCCTTTTTACACGTATTGAAATCTATCACCTTTTTTTTAAATAGGGAGTTATCAATGAAGATTTATTTGTATGAAAATACTTCCATTTCTTGTTTCCTAATATAAAAATTTAATTGACATTTTTTGTTTCAAGATAGGGTTTTTGCTATTGCCAGCTTTTATCCGTGACTTCGTCTGTATGACCAAGATATGTTTATTAATCTGTGTATAAAGTAGTGTATCTATATCCTTTTTCATCCCATACAATAAGTGCATATCAAATTTCATAGTGATTGGTTAAGCCGTTACGGCGTTATAAAGTAACGAACAAACAAACTCACTTTTACTTTTATAATATTAGTTAGTGTCCTGTATTAGTCCCATATTAAATCAGTAACGATTGAAAATACCGGTTTTTTTTTTTTTTATTACAATTAATTTGAAATTTCTATTTCTTTTACAGAGCAAAATATATATATTTATATATTATTTATCGCACTTTAAATCATTATTATTATAGCTTTATTTATTTCCTTAATAATTTACAATCATTATGAAAATATACGATATATTTTTTACATCTTATTAATTATTATTTATTTATTAAAAACTATTATTAATTTATTATATAATATCTAAGTGCATTAATAATAAAAAAATATATTTGTTTTTTATTAAGGACGAGAAGTCCTTAATAAAAAACAAACAGGGTATAAGAAGATGAAAGGACTAAGCGTAGATACTTAATATATAAAATATTATTTTATATATGAAGTGACAAACATATACAATGTGTTTATAACGGTACATAAACACCGATATCGGGCCATCCCATAAAGCCAATGCTACCCTTTTCCCCAACTTTAGGGTCGGATCGGAAGTTTTAATAAAAAACGAGTTCCTTGTACATTTCGTGATTTATATATTTTAAATGTACGTGCAAATGGTTTTTGCTGTTTCACCTTCAAAAATAAAGGATAACTCATTGGTTTGAGGGTTTTATGGAAGAAAAAACTTGGCACACAAGTCAACCGATTGGAGACACCAGAGGGAGACTTTGTACAAAAGTCGATTGCTCGGGTACCTCTGTCACATTCGTGTTTCAACCGTGAAGCAGTTGTGTTTGCATGGCTGTGTTTCGGTTTGAAGGGTGGGATATGGCGTGAATTTACTGGGTACAGAGGAATAACACCTGAGTCCTCAGGAATGGCAATACATGGGGGGTATTATGGGCGAAACAGTATACTCTGTTATGTCCATGGTACTGCTCATGTTTATAGGCGACGTTCACGTTCCACTTTCCACCAGGTGGGCCGTCAGCTTGTTTGCCATTCTAAGTTGCATAAAAAATATCTCTCGTGTTTCTATTGCTAAGCAGCTAGATTTTATTTAAAAGAATTAAAATTCAATGTTAACCCTTTCCGCGCTATCGGTATACACTGGCGAGGCACCAGTGAGAAATGACAAGCGAGCATGAAAGCAGGTCAGTAAGCTCATCGTGATGAATTCACATGGAATTAAGCGAGATAATTTCCAGGGGGAACCGCGTGAAATTCGACCTAACCTAATTGCTAAGTCAGGTCGATATAATGGTGCCACTAGTCCCCATCGCTAACAATTCCTTCCCTCCTCCCTTTCAGCTATGTTTGTATGATCATGTTTCAGCTTTAAGTGTTGGATATGGCATTGATATATATATATATATATATTGATATATATATATATTGATATATATATATATATATATATATATATATATATATATATATATATTGTGTTTCGGTTTATTTATTTATTATTTGACAAGGAATAACACCTGAGTCCTCAGGAAAGATTAACAAATCACAATGTTATAATAAAAAGTATATAGTGTTATGTCATGGTATTTATATAAAAAGAAATAAAAAATTTAAATATTGAAAAAAGTAAAAAAAATCAACAATATAAATACACAAGCAATATATATATATATATATATATATATATATATATATATATATATATATATATATATATATATATATATATATATATATATATATATATATATACATATATTGCTAGCAATATACCAAACCAGGTCGACCTCCCCGTGATCCTCTCTGGAAACCAACGTGCTGAATTCCTATTCATCACGATGGGCTAACTCACCTGCCTTTTGATTCTCACCTATCATCCCTCACTGGTGCCCCGCCAGTGTATACCGATAGCGCGGGCGAGGTTACCACTCCATTATCATCCACTAAAAAAAATCTGAGTCTACTAAGCCAACATTTTCTCTGTTACTTGAAACAAGTTCGCAGCTCGCATTAGGGTATGGTCCGGATTAACGAGTTTATAATCTAAACTAGAGAGGGAGAAAGGGATTGTTAGTAATGGAGACTGAGAATCCCATTGCTAGCAATGTACCCAACCAGGTCGACCTCCTCGCGGTTCTCCCTGGAAACTATCACGGTTAATTCCTGATGAATTCATCATGATGGGCTAACTGGTCTGTTTTCATTCTCATCTATCACCCTTCACTGGTGCTCCGCCAGCGTGTCCCGTTAGCGCAGGCGGGGTTACCATTCCACTTTCACGTATCAAAAAAAAATCTAAACTAAAGTGTTGAATTACAGAAAATGTACTGTTTGAATAGACTAACAGTTTTCCGTGGTTTTTCTTACGTAAATCAATATATAAGGTAAATAGTTAATTATTTACATATGGAGTTATTTAAATAGAAGCTGAACATGGGCTCAGCTACTAAAATTAAACCGTTTAATTTTTTTTTTTTTTTTTTTTATACAACTTAGAATGACAAACAACACTTTCCATCAGGTCCACCTGATGGAAAGTGGTAACCGTCGCCTATAGACATGGGCAGTACCATGGACATAACAGAGTGTACTGTTTCGCCCATGATACCACCCATGCGTTGCCATTCCTGAGGACTCATGTGTGGTAAATTTAACTTAAACAAACTTTTTTATATGTTACACAGCGTCATTTAATGCCAAATTTAATAGAAATAGGAACATTTATTGTTTTGTAGATACCAGTATATACATACTAGGTTTTACCTACGATTTCGTTTACGTGACCGGAATATATTAAATGTCCGGGATAAAAAAAAATAGCATCCATCTTTCGGAACAAACAGTTGTCTGGTAACTGTCTGTTACGCATCAGCGTACGATGGGTAGATGCTTAAACGCAATGCTCACACTAATATAAATATATTACAATATAATTATAGGATTACCAACATAAGATACAGCTAAACATTTCAATACAATACACTGGCAGATTAGATCTAACTGTTCCTACATTTATAGGTAACCACAGCTTGCTTTGTGTTTGATAAACATTAAAATGGAATTAAATTATTAAATGTCATTATATGAGTAAAGATATTAACAATATGAATAATAACATAATTTAAATAATAGAAATTGTAATGTAATTGTTATAAATTATAAATAAATATAATGTAATGGCGACGTACATCAACATTTTAATTTAGCCATGAACACAGAGTGACTGTCGTTGAAAATATCAAGTTCAGGCTTTCGTTATAAAATGAAAAATACTACAATACTACATAATTGTGTATTGAACTATGTTGTTTCATTTGAGATTTCAAGAAGTATGTAATTGGTAGATCGCGCAGGGTTTCGTCAGTAAACAGTAGATCTTGGGTCTAGTCAAGTCGACCACATTCATTCAGTCCGCAATTTTTATAATTTTTTTTTTAAATGTGGCCAATAAAAAAAAAGAGATAGATATAAATCGCCTACACTGTGCCCGCAAGTTCGCCTCAAGTTTTCTTCGAGAAAATGTAATATTCTCAAGTTCTCTACGATCACATTCTACGTGCCAGATTTAATTGGACAGCTTTGTGACAGCGGGGTGTGGGTTCGATTCCGTAGAGCGAAAAGTTTCGTTGGAAAACAATATAGCTGCCACGTATACGACTGTATTTATTATGATGAAACATGTATCGATCCATAGATATCTGTTATTTCAATATATATATTCTTTATTGTACTAAAACATGCAGTAATAATAAGAAACTAGTAACAAAGTAAGCAAAGGCGAATTTATCTCTAAAAGAGATTTCTTCCAGTCAACCTAACACAATGGCATAGGGGGGAAAGGGATTGTTAGTAATGGAATCAAATAGCCCCATTACTATCAATATACCCTATCAGGTCGACCTCCATGTGGTTCCCCCTGGAAACCGACTTGGCTAATTCTAGTTGAATTTGTCAGGATGGGCTAACTGACCTGCTTTCATCCTCATCAGCCACCTATCACTGGTGCCCCGTCAGCGTATCCCGATAGCGCAGGCGGGGTTACCATACCATTATCACCCATTAAAAAAAAACACAATGACATAGGAAGTAATGAGTGGGCAGTAGTAGTGCTAAGCAGGAAAATAAACAACGAAAATATACTCGTATATTTACACAATTTATATATATAACTATATATTTATTTATTTATTCAAAGCTCTATTGCACCAACATGAATGGTTAAACAATTTTCAATACGTATAGTGTAGTACAAAAGGCGGTCTTATTGCAAAGCAATCTCTTCCAGACAACCTTTGGGTAGAAAGAATTAAAGAATAAATAGGTAGGTGGCTCGTTAAAAAGAATAGATCTGTAAAAAAAAATATCTGTGACAGCATAGTCATATACACATACATAAATAAACACATACATCCAAATATATACATATATATATATATATATATATATATATATATATATATATATATATCGATAGATCATCATATACTAATATACTAATACGCTTGGCATATAAATACAACATAATATATCGTCGTTTTAAGTGGGACACTGCTGCCCATCCCTCATATACATCATACATACATATATATATAATTACCAGAGGGAGACTTGAGTATCTCTATTCTATTCGTGTTGCTACCGTGAAGCAGTTGTGTTTGCATGGCTGTGTTTTGGATTAAAAGGTGGGATATGGCAGTGAATTTACAGGGTACAG